GGGGGGGAGACAGAAGAGTGGTTCAAAGATGTAAAAGAGACAGACACAAAGGTAGAAAAAGGTGAGGTGAGTACCGTGTAAGTAGTCGAATATGACATACACTGGGGTGATGGCGGTTTGGAGTCAGAATTCAACTGCCGGTTAATAGACTTTTTGCCGTATGAGTATATGTTGCCCAGGGGAGGTAAGTCTATCACACACCCCATCAATAAACTTTGAATACCGTTAATGTGGCTTCACCTTGTAGTCCACGAACTAGGCCATACACACTGAACTTAAGTCCATTTGTAGATTCCAAGGTGAGCTGAACTCGCTATTAGACAGGTTGCTACTTCCCTGCAAGGAAAGTCCCTGCTTCCAGTGAAAGTCCCAACGTCCAAGCTTCATTTCGCATTCATATTCCCACCTTTCTCCCTTAGTAGATCATTTTGCTTATCCAGTTGCTCCCTCACCGACTAAAATTAATTCGATTTTTTATTTAAAACTATCTTGACCGAAGATCAGATCTATTCACAAGTTGTCGTAGCTGATATATCAATTGGTAAGGTATAGCGCTTGGTCATAGCATTCTCAGAACAAGTGAAAGTCAACAAACGTAGCTGATTATACCTCAGTGACAAGAGATCAAAGAAACCTATAGGTATTTTCCAAAAGTCCGCCGATCCCAATTGGCGCCCACGGGGTTAAAAGTTAAAATGCTGCCTTACAGATTTTCTCTAGTTGGGACTGAAGCTCGACGCTCTCCATACGAATTAAGCCATTCCGTTTGCAAAATACCGCGCGCTAGACACACACAGAAGCATATATATATATTTCTCCTAGGTGAAATATTTTACTTCTGTATTACCGCCCATGGGCACTTATTCGGGTGAGCGGTTATTTGGTTCCAAAATAGTTTCGTGAAATGAAAGCTTCCGTTTAACCGCCCAGGGCGGGTTTTCGGAAAACAACGGTACTATCTAGGTAAAACGATTAAGACACAAAACACTTGCGAAAACAACTGCCTTTGAAACTACACTGGCCAAAATCAAGTGCCTCTTAATTTGTCCAGCAAGAAAGAAGGCGGAGTTTGGATGATGAGTCCTACTGAGAATTTTTTTCCTCGCAGCATTAAAGAATTCGACCAAAAAAGTGTAATTAAGTGTGCAACAAATTCTTTATAGTTTACTTGCCCATTATTTCAGTTAGTGTTAGTGCTTCTTTNTGGGGTGGGGGGGGGGGGGGGTTGGGGGTGGGTTACACCACTGCATTCATATAACTGTGGAAAAGAATAAGTAGATAAGGGTCAACCAAGAAGTCATAAATCCCGGAAACATTCTATCTAGCGATGGAAGTGTCGATTTCAAGGAAAAGATTATGCAATTTCAGGCAGATATCGACATTTTGGCAAATGCTACGTTTAAATTTCTAAAACAGTTACAGACATGAATGATGAACTAAATCACTTATTAGACGAGCTTATTTTGAAACAATATCTAGCGTGTCAAAAATTACCGTTTTTTTAAATAACAACCGATACCTCAAATGATAATCGGATTCTAATTAATTTCAAATTTTGTAGAGTATTTGCCATTGAAAAGGTATCTCTCTCACATAAAGGGCTATCCCACAGTTTTCCCAAACGTCATTTCACGTAATTTATAATCGAATAATCATTTCAGCCCCCAAATAACCGATCGTCAATTCCGATCAGCAAATAAATAGACCTTTACTGAAGTAACTATTTTAGGGATAAAAAGGTAAGAAAGTGTTTCGCAAGTAATTGCAAATGTTAAAATGCATGGTGTTTGGCAATTTTAATCTCTTTACGAAGATTCAAAGTTAAGTTTATAACGACTGACTGCAAGTAGCTCTAAGAATCTCAGTGGAGCATTTCCAGAGCATTTAATCTTACTTGATTCAGGGCATCCCAGAAACCAGCCGTAGCGACAGAAAGTTCGGAAAACGATATAGTCACATTACGGATCCATGTATGTGGTGGGATTGAATTGAATGAAATGTGTGATAATGGCTTGAATTAGTGAAGATCTGGAGAAGACGGTTCTGCTAATTTAACCGCTAGCGACACTGTATCCTGTAAAGCTTCATTTCATCATCGATCGATTTTTGACACAATTCCCACAAATGTTGTTGGTGGCAGATGGAAAACCATACCAAAGGAAGCTGCCGTTCAGAGTTCAGAAGTTAGTTATATAACATGATCAATCGTCAGGTCTTGGAAAAATAAGCGACAAAATGATAATTCACAAAAGAAGCACAACGAAAATATTATAGAAAAGTGTGAAAGAATAACCATGCTCTCATGAATTCTTTTTTTCCTCATTTGGATTAATATTGATTTTCTCTCTAGCCAAAATAAACCTTGTATTTCCTCCATCAATCACTATAACAATGAGAAACCTGGCAATTCAGTATATGAATCATTATTTTAATGCATAAACGCTAACATTCTTCTTTTTTTATGAATTTAGATTCACTATTTCAACTTAAAACACGACGTTGAGAATTGGGGTAAATCTTAACGTATACTGTTGAAAATACTAGAGATTCAGGTTTATGACAATTACAACCACCCACAACCACGAACATACTTCAAGCATAAGTGAGCCAGACCTAAACTTAATTAGCTTTGCACCAGCAAACAGAGCTGCTTTAGCAACCAACCACTTGAGACTACGTGATCATTGCTAAGGGTAACAGGATACAATAACCATTTCCTACACAAGTGACCAAGATTTCAGTGGGAAGAAAGCGTATTTTAGACCCTATGAGGAAGGAAGTAGAAAATCTGAGCGGTAAGGTAGGGATTAAAACTTTGACGGACAGGACAACAACCAAAAAGGTAGTGTCAATAGGATTGTGGCATACCAACAGAACTTATTTTGGAAAAATTGAATCGGATACTATTGTATCATTATTCCACGAAAATATATTGACTATGTGCTTTCAACGTGTTTGCTCTTCAGAACAGAAGTAGACCCAAATATCACGAACTGTAAAATAATCCGAAAAGAACAAGGAAGAAATTCAACCCAATAACGAAAATACTTCCTCACCTGAACTCCTTCCCTCTATCTTATACAACTCCACTGGTTCTACACATTCTGTCCAATTCATTTCACACCAATGACAGTGGACACCATTATTAACAAGAAAGATTTCATAATAAGATTAGGAAATAGATTTTCCAGTACCATTCTTACAATAAAATAACCATCAAGCCCAATTCGCAAACTTATTCGTACAATGCAGTAAAACGCCACTACAACAACAGGCTTTGCTGCCTTTACATCTTATCTCCCATATTTAGTAGAAAAATGTAAGCCATGTATTATATGGGTATATTCTAAATCACTACTTTATATATTCAATACAGAATTTTAATAGAATTTGTTACTTTATGGGTAGCTATACGTAGATGTAGGAAAATTACTTTCCACCATCTTTACAGCAACCTTTGCTTTCGCTACCTTCACATTTACCCTTGTGACAGGTTTCTGGGCACGTCTGATGGGCTGAAATTCCAGATTTGTTCTCTCCGGGGCAACATTGTATCTGATGGCAAGTTGGCTTGCAGTCCTTACCACATTTTTGCTTACATTCTTCTGAACCGTCACCGTGATGTGGATGAGTTTCTATTTTGAGGGATACTCAGCCGTTAAAGCAGTATTTTTAAGTTATAAAGCAACAAAAGTAAATAAAAAACGAACCGGGCATACTACTAGTTAGTCGAAATAGCGTTTCAAGAGAAGTGTCTCAAATCCTGGATATATATTCTAATTGGAAAGTGCATCGACCAATCAACTTAAGCAACTCTTAACCAATTGCAGCTGACTAAGTGCTTGATAGGCTAAATGGACATTAACATTTAACATTTCTTCAAATGCCCCCATTTAAGAAAACGAAAAAAACAAAGACGACCTCAATTAAGAACATTAATAAGTGTATATATTGCTTGAACTTATTAGGGGAAGAAAAAAACAAGATGATAAGATGAAAAAGGCAACCAAAGAAAAAAAGGAATTGTTAAATGGACTGTGAACTGTCACAGGATCGGTCACTTGCAACACGACTTATCCGCGCAGTCTTTGTGGTCGCCAGGGTGGCAGGCTGGAGTACATCCTGCATGTTTCTCATGTTGACACTCAGCACCCGATTTGTGGCACTTCTCAGCGCTGTCGCCACATACCTTCTTGCACTCTTCTGACCCATGGTCATGATGCTTCATATGAGAATCTACCACAATGGATGGAAAACATGACTTATAATTCTACTCCTCTCAGTAATAAAGTAGGCATGATTCTTACCAGTAGAGGACATCCTGGGCGTTGAGAAAGGAAAATGATATTGGGGTTCATCCTGGAAATTCTGATATATATATAATTATCAATTGTTGGGTGTTGACCAATAGGTAGGATGGGAAAGGCATGACGACCAATGAACTCGGGCATATGATCGCTTGGAGCCTATTGGGCATTTTCTCCTGTTTGGCCATTCTTAACGGGGTAGTCATGCCGTCATTTGCCCTGGATGCAATCACATGATTTTTATTTGTGCACTTTGTATAATACATTAGTTACGTTAAACGTGGTATGAAATATCTATTTTGGAAACAACTATAATATGTTAAAATGGGACGATTAATTATTGTAGGTTAGATATATTCCCAATAGAAAAGACGGCATTTTGATTTACGAACTGCTATGATATCAATATCTTGAACAAATGATAATTATTCAATACCCGAAATGCTGCAACCACCTATAAGGACTCACAAGAAAGGAAAAGTAAAAGCTTTCATTAAGTGAATATATTTATAAGTTAAATAGCGCATTTATATATTTTTATTTCAAGGTCGTTGAGAATGCCACGAACAAATAGGCGGATATTGCGTCTGTGGACCAGTCTTCTTCCCTTTTCGTTTTATTTTCTAGAATATTTTCTTTTATAAAATATCCGGAAGAGAAAAGAGGTATTTTAGAGTGCTCTTTCGAAGTTCACCCATTCTATTGCTAGTATCAATCATGATGGATAATCACAAATATAACTCAATGTGTGCCGTTCGTCATTGTTCTAGAGAGTTCTCACCTGACAGACCTGTAAAAGTTGACCCCCTAGACCACAATCGCGCATTATTTTTCATACGCTGTCTCTTCTGATTTTTATTGTGGGTATTGAAATTGATTTTACCCTTATATCAAATGTGCATAAGGAAAGTCCTTTCACTGAATCAAAAAAAGCGTTATAGGATTAGAGATAACAGTCAATAATTTGAAACTGTAGCATGCAATTGAGAGACTAATGCTCTTTGCACTTCGTCACGGCTTAGAGACATTGATTTTTTCCTCAAAGTCATTGTCTCGTATTGGTGCTATTTTTTCTCTACATGTGCAACGTAACACAAGGAGGTAAAAGTTATCCTCGTTATTTAGACACCTCACTTCGAAAGCTCGAAACCATTTATTAACTCTGTTCATGGGTGAACTTCATTTAGTTAGAGCATGTTCTGGATATATTAGTTGGCTTCATGTCTGTAGGGATAGAGTAAGCTTTGAGCATCACTAACATGAGGTCATCCAAAAGTTTAAGGATCCAATGATGAAGGTGAATATTGAGTATATATTTTGATTATTATTACCAAGTATATTAAAACCATTTGAGAAAATGAAAGCTTGTTTACTTACGACTTTAAATTCATAAGAAGCCTTGATAATTTTGCTTTCTTAAACACCTATATTCAGCGCACGCTTGGCATTGTAGAGGAACTTTTTCATCATTTTGGGTACTAAAATGTTTTCCGAACGTTCATCATCTCCGAAGTAACAATAAAAGTTCATTAAACTCAGTTTAAAGCAGTCAAAATTTTTGGAAAATGAATCCGTAAAATTAGAACAAATTCCTATTTTAAAGCCTTAGAGCATTTTGTCCGTTAATTTTCATTTCAGAATTTTCACCCGCTCAGTGTCGATTAGCTTAATTTTAAATTTTGAAGATTTATGGCAAATGTCTCTTTTAATAGGACATTTTTTGAGTTACTTTGATGACTCCATGAACAGATCGACTACTGGGTTCACAAATAAGGCCCTTGATTGTGTAAGAGTTAATTGGTGAATTGACAATTACTAAGACATTTATTTATAATTGGAACATGTAACAAGAATAGTAAATAGAGTGAAATGTATACAAGAAAAGGTGATGGAAGTGCCGTGAATTAACTACATGCCCCCAGAGGCTTCCAGTTCAAGAAGAAATAATCATCATTAAGACGGAAAAGCTGACGTTGTTAAATTTTCACTCTCCTCCCGTAAATATTGCAGTATCTTGACCTCGCATTCGAATAACATAAATAGACAAACATTCGGTTGCAGAATTCATATAGTTTAACAAGAAAAAAAAACAATTGAAACAAGTGGAAATAAAGAAACGGAAAATAGAAAGTCGTATTTGAAATAACTAGAAAACATGGAATCGGTAGTTTTGCCACTAGTTTTGTAAATATTGAACATCTAATGTGTTTCCCATGATGTCTCCACTATCTGCACATTACATGGTAGTAAGAACGTCGTAAACAATTGAAATTTAAAAAGAGTTGTGATTGTCGCCAAACTGATCATTCTTATTTTAATTATCCTTAAATTACGAACAAATTCCAATTACAGCATATTGAAAAATACGATATAATGGAGCTTGTGGGACCCGTCATCACCTAACAAATTATCCATTACGCGAACAGCCAATGGCCAATCATAAGCCTTCGTCTGTTTTATCGAATCCGCAATGTTGGTTAAGACTAACCTTCCGGCATGATGCTTTTACCACGATATACTTCTCAAGTAAACGTGCTCTGTGCGATACCTCTGTTCACTCTTTTGCAGGGCTGTACCTGGGAGTCTAGCCAGCTATTGGAAATTCTGCCATAGAGATATCTGAGTCAGTCAAGGTTTTACTAGCGCAACGATCTGCTAAAAAACAAATAGTTCTTCCTTCTTTTTCCGTTTATCCCTCTAAGGACTAGGCAATTAAGGTTATAACTCGTACATGGCTAAATTCGAAAGAGTCTGAATCATTCCTTAAGGTTCTGAAACAGCAGCCGATTATCAAATTGCTTTTCGATGTCCAATGTAGATAAGTAGTACTCTCTAACGCATATAAGAATGCAGTAGTTACGTATGACGAAATTAAATATTTCATTATTAGATACGAGTATAAGTATTTTGTAAAGATTAATGGATGAGCCATTGAAGGAAAAATGTTATGATTATTTGTAAATATATGTTTAATTAGAACGAAATAACACTGACTACTTTTACAGTTAAGAATTTAGTAGATAATGTTTTTGACCTACCTAATAATTCAAATTCGCTCACTCCTGCCAAGCAAATTCCGCTTTGATGGAGGACTATTTTAGTTGTTTACCTCAAAGCACCATAGCTGAGTAGTGGAGATGCTGACTGTTGACTAAGTACTCAATTCAAGTGCAAGTCATCTTCAATCAAATTATCAGTAGTACTTACCATTTAAAGTATTTTTGTTAAATTTTACTTATTCGCCCAAAGTAAAACTTATCATATATTAGTCGTAAATTTGCATAATAGGTTACGATCAGGAAAACGCATAAAAAATATTTATGAAAAGGAAACGTCCATGCTGCCAAATCAGCAGCCTCCATTTGAATAATCAAAGGACTAGGCGCCTACAGAAAGATTTTAGCTTTCTTTAAGTTAATGTTTCACTTTCTACGCTAAATTCTAAGTCTAAATGCTTACAAATACTACTAATTAAAGCTGAGTAGATAATTTTCGGAAAAAATAACGACCTGATTTACTTGTATTATTCGAGGTGCTTTCTCAAAAATGTTGAGAATACTTAATGCTGTTTTAAATGTTTCCTTGTTTATGCCTGGCTAATTTCCAATAAAGTAACGTTTCGCTTTTTCTAGACTCCGGAATTACCAATCTGTGGACCTGCCTCCGAATTATGCTACTGATTTATGTGCTTAGCCTTTAAAAGAGAGCCACGTTTTGCGAGGAAAAATACATCAAGATGAACTAAAGGTATTACTGGCTTACAAAGTATTGATGTTGATTTTGATTTAAGTCTTTAAAATGCATTATTTACAGTTTTCTTCAGATTTATTCAATTAACTAATGACATATGATTACATAACATATAATTAATCTTTCCATTTCACATCTATTAGAGAAGGATTTTATTAAAACTCGACACTATTCTAGTATATCTTCTTGTAAGTCTAAAATGATAAGAACAAGTTTTGGATATACATATTTAAATATAAATATGAATATAAATATGTATATGTATTTGCGTAAAATAAATAAGCGTGTACGTAAATTACATTAGCGCAAAAATGTATTTTGAATTGAATTATAATAGAGACAAGACCACCGAGTTAGTTATATAAAGGCCAGCTGAATTATCGTAGTTTAATTATCAATATGTAATCAGTAATTATGTCGAATTGCCTTTGGATAGTTTTAATTTTATATGGAATATGTATTTTTACAAATTTAATACACTCGCACGTAAGTATTCATATCCGTCTCATTCTGATGGAGATTTAGACCTAGTGTGAAGTTAGCGAAAATAACATATGATTAAAATTGATCACAATAAGACAAATTAAAGCAGCAATTATTACATATATTATAAAGATTTAAATGAGGAAGTTAAGTTTCAATGTTCTTAAATGCATTAAAACATAAATATTTTAAAAATGAACAGCCACTGAGCTATCTTTAAGGTAACATTTATTCAATGTAATGCCATTTTTTAATTAAAAACTGCTAAAAGATTCATATTAACCATTTTCTAACACAACAATAACCAAACGCTGAATTACATTTAAATAAATTTTAGACTATTACCTAATTTTGAGGCATCACTTAAAGAGAAACTATATCCGAATCAATATTCATTAAATAACTAAAAATTAAAATATTTGAGGACTTATAATACAATTGTATATTTGACCACTAATTTAATTTAGAGAAACAACTTGCAAAATGTAAATATGGTAGTGACGATCATTCTATATTTTTATGATTGAATTGATATAAATAAAACAGTCCAAAATTTAGACTTTTAAATTTGAAATAACTTTTTAGGTTACATTTATCTTTTATCTAATCATTAGAAGTGATATTCGACCTTGGACATATATTCAATTGCGTTCAGGACGTTCTGTGGATGTTAATATCTTATGCCCATTGCACAAAAGTTTGCTCCACTGAACAATGGATTTCGGTTGCCTCTTGTTGGATATGATGCCACTAGCGTATTTTCACTTAAATAATATTTTAATTCAGTAGGTTACTGAAGTGGATAAGACTCTACTATGCGTAATAGATTCAGGTTACCGATTTCTACATTGTGATGCAGACGACGGAAATTCTGAGAATGTTGGTTCAGTTCTTCAAATGAAAGTTGACTCTTCGATGTTAAATAAGTCGGATTTTTTTCTGTCAACAAAGGCAAATATATTGTGGTAAAATAATAATTTAGAAGTAGATTGATATTTCTCAACGGAATCCGAAAAATATTAGGGAAGAATTAAGCAGAATTCTTACAAAGTATAGACTCACTTTTCTGGACTTGCTTCTTCTTCACGATCCATTTACTTATAAGGTAAGTTCTCTTAAGTTAGTTTAATATTTCAGACTATTGAAAATCAAAATATTCGACCAAAGGAGATTGAGAATTCATGGAGAGTAATTTTACCTTCTTAATTTGAAGAAAATATACCTTTGTTTTTAGCAGTTTTCCGTATTTATTCTAACTTTGTAGCAAATGGAACAACTGGTTGATGCTGGTTTCGTGAGGTCCTTGGGTTTATCAAATTTCAGTAGAGATCAAATTGATAGACTAATTAGGTTCTGTAACATCAAGCCGGTGGTTCTTCAAATGAATTCCTCAATTTTAACATATGACAGAGAGCTCAAAGATTATGCTCAATCGTTTGGCATTCAAGTTATAGTCAATGATACAAATTCAAATCAGACCCCGGTGTAAGTTAATAGAGCTTTAATTTATACATACTTTGAAACACTTTTATGGACAAATTTGTAGAATAAGGTGAGTGGAACTGTGCTTATCCTTGGATGAGTCTGATAAATATGCAAGTACCAGTGTAAGAATAGGTGATTATAGAATCAACTACTTAATTTAATCGACTTATCAATAAGCCCTGAGTTTAATTAATGCAGTAGACAATGAGCTTTTTGCACCTTTAAGGATGGAATAGCTTGGTGAAGCGCTAGTCCCAATTATTTTGGGAATTAATTTTCTAGAGTATTAAATTTAGAAGTATTTTTACAATTTTACTATTCAACATGTTCCATTATTTTCAAAATTGTTTTTGGCAAATTTTATTAATTTTTAATAGTATAACTGGTTTTTATAGATATAGATATTTGAATGGAAGAGTAGTTTTCACTTCTTCCTCCTACAATTATTTTAAATACGAACACTTATTTCATTTTATTGCTAAATATATATTTATTTCATCGGTTCGAATTACGTATACTAATTGCAATGGTTTTTGTTGTTCACTATTGGCATTTTAGCCGTTTCTCCGTTCTTTTATGTTGTACAATTTTAACTCAATTTGCACTTACTAACCTCTTTCCATATATCAACCATGTGTATATTTACGATTCCTCAAATGCAATAAGTTGAAAATCTATTAAAAGCATTCAGCCCTTAAACCACTATCATTGTTTGTAATTAAAATTAGCTTTGAAACAAAGGACCTTTTTATTACTGACTAGCTAATGTTAACTTTTTTATCTGCTGATTGAGAATTTTGAAGAACTAATGGAAATAAGTAGTCACACTCAGACACAAAAGGAATAAAAGAAGATCCGTTAAATTCGATCTCTCTTCTAGTAAGAAACTTGCTTAGCCAATAGATGAGGAACGGAATGGGAATGGTTAGTAGCCTGGTTGGTGAATAACGCTCAGCAGCGACGGTATCGAAAATTGAATAGTCTGTGGAACCCTTTCATTTCCCTCATTTCACTCCAACCCAACTTTCTACTTGTTGCGTTTTTAGAATTCAACTAAATGGGTCACCATTATTCAACAAGTATTCATTGTCCCTCTGGCATATAGTGTAGATGGGGATTATCCGAGTGAGGGACAATTTTCAGCCCTCCGTAATGTCAAGGAGGGAACGTGACTAATGGGTTGGAATAGGTTGGAGATGCGGAGATATTGTAATGTGAGTGGTGAGAGTAGAGTGGAGTGTCTTTATTGTCACCTATATGGCTACTTCTCCATATATCCGTTGTTTATGTGAGTGGTTAATTAGATCCGACAGTCAAAGGATCTCTGCATAATTCTGCATAATTTAGTCGTTATAAATGCAACAGTCGGTTCTTTTTACGCCGCAGTCACGTTTCTTTCCTTTTTCAAATTTCTGCTTTTTTGCATGAATTAATAAATTGGTGAATACGCGCCCTCTGTAGAAGTATCTAAGAACACATTTGGAGGAGAAAGCGGCCTTTCCGATCTTTAAATATTTCCTTCCTTTAACTTAAGAAATTCAAAGGTGAATGCCTAACCAAGGAGTCATAGCTCAAATTGCTTCAATTGGAGCGAGTAAGCAGTTGCCAGAAATTCTAAAACTGCAAAGCTACCTTCAACGCAGACCTGAAATGATACCATTGTTTTGTTGAGAGAAATCACAGTTGTAAATCAATTTGTTTTTGATGACACAAATATGCCTTGATGGAATATTTAATTTGAATTGGCAATGCCAGTTGATATTCAATCTTTCTGTTATTTCTAACCTAATTCTAAGCTGATTTTGTTTGGCGTCAATATGTGTGAAATCCAGAAAGTTTAAATGTTCTTCGCACATTTCAATAAGATTATCATTATTTATCATCATCTGTTTCGCGTAATTAAACGTGACTCCCCATAATTACACTGGATAATACTTAAGTAGGATTTTCTAAAGAGGTAGTATTTTATCATTAGGCTACAGTATTTTACTGCTAATGAAGTTTTTCTTACTGCATTAATAATCATATGTTTTGATTCACCTTAAAATCCTATAACTATGGTTATTCGTTTTGAGTTGGCAGTCAAATGGAGACGCTTTTCAAAGCAACAATCGTATGCTTATTTTGGTTATTTGTTTTAGTTATCTATTCGCGTGACTGACGTATGCATCTAGTGCCCCACCCCCAACCCCACCAATAGGTGCGATCTTTTAAACAGCAAAACCCGATCATTTTCAAATAATTAAATGCTGCACGCAATTTATGTTTCATAATTAAAAGCTTTTCATAACCGGGCAGGCGCCCTACGTTGAAATTGCACAGTTGCAAGTGCACATTCGTTTATAGGGCTTTTCATTCCTTAATTCCAACTGTACAAGCCCACCTACTTGCTTTTTGACTTTGGTAAATTTGGTGACTCAATTTTGACTTTTTCATTGATAGACTCAAAACCGAGAATAGTTAAGCATTTTCTTTTTATTGGTGGACATATTTTCGGGTATTTCAACGTTATATGATCAAAAATACTTTTCTCTAACTTTTCTTGTTGATGATGGTAAAATAGTTGTTTCAATCTTATCTTACTAACAGTAGCTACATTAAATCCGAAATTCATCGAAATAGTCATTTTTCTTCACTTTTTTTTCATTTTGTTTTAAAAAATTCCTTTTTGTCGAAATTTTGTCATTCTGAAAAAAATGCCGTCAAAAGTAGAAGGTTTTGCGTTTTAATAAAATTTCAATCTGTTACAAAATGACCAGCCAGAGTGGAGTAAATACTTTTAATATAGCGATTACGTCCTTGCCATTGAGTTTAAATATCCTTTTCACCCTTCTAATTGAGTTGATTAATGTTAGCTAATAGTATATCAATGTCCACATTGTGTAGTTCGTTTATAATTCGTCATTGCTTATTCAATTTATATATGAATTTTCGAACAGATTTGCAATTCCATTATGAGATTCGGATACCTCAATTCTGTATTATAGAGAAAATGCCTTCTTGGAAAACGAGGTTGTATTGAAGATGGCAAAGAACTACCTAAAGAATCCTTATCAGATCCTCATTCGGAGAGCAATTCAACGAGACCTCATCGTTTTCTGCTGTTCTACCGATCCCTACAGGATTCGTACCAATATGAGTGTGAGTTTCACCTTAGTAATTTAAATTGTTTGGTTCTGCAAAATATCACAACTATGATCTAAAAGTTACCCGTTATTTTTCACTTTCCCCATTTTCATGGTGTTTTGACACGCTATTTCGGGATTCACTATTGTCATTAGCACACCACCTCACTAGGCAATGAAATAGGCACTCAAATATAATTTCTATGTCTATTTACGAAAGCTTCTTTTAATGCGCACATTGATTCTAGAGGTTTCACCTGTGAATGCATGCGAGAAATAAGTCACATTCTTGCACTTCCTTTTACTAGCCATACGTGGCCAGTGCATTTGGTCATTTAGTCCTCTGGATTAACCCTGAACCGTCTGGACGCAGAAATCTAAATTAAGGAGGCCACCTATAAAGTTTTTTCTTAAAAAAGTACTTTTAGAAGAGATTTGAATCCCCATCTAAATTCTGAGTTTTTTACTTCAGTGGTGATCGCTACAAGAAGGTTTAATTGTGAACGTTTTGAAAGAATGGAAGAGATGGTGTGGTCGATTGGTACCACTCCGTGTAAATTCAAGTGAGGGGGGGGGGAAGGAGGGAAGGAAGAATATGAATTCCAATGAGAAAAGTTGAAATGAAATGAACATTTGAAGAGAATTGCGTGCACAACAGCAAGAAACACTCTTCGGACCCGCAAAATTTCACCTGGAGTTGCATTTCCAGAATTATGTCAGACGCGTTGAGCCCAGTTATTTATAACTCTTGAGTAATTAAAACCTCTTCGTGAAATCTATCTTGGTAGATTTTGCCACCACTTATTACTTCATGTTTGATAATATAGGGCAAGAGTACCATTGTACAGGTAACCAAAATGTATCAGGAAATATCAGAAATTAGAACCGCAAAATTAGAGTCGATAGAGCAGGATGAATCAACAGTCTTCCTGGTTTTCGTTGCAGCAGATATTGACATCCGAGAAATCTCCACTCTCTTAGAAAGTGAATTATACTTCAAGGCGAAATAAATATCTGTCTCTATATCCTTAATGGAGACAATTGCTCCATTAATGTTAGTGATTTTAGCTTCTTAATTTTTTATCTATCAGTCGACAGCACCATTTTTCGCATTATCTGTATTAATTCTTGTAATCAGTCAGTAACACAACCTCCTTATTTTATATAATGTTTTAATCTGGCAGTTAGTTTTCACTTAAAATATATTGTCTCCCTATTATTTTGCAGTCAACATGAATGAGTATGCTTTTCCATGCCGGATAAGACTTGGGAAGGAAGGTGACTTTGCATTAAGTTATCATTTAATCCAATGCAAAGCTAGTTCTATTGATATTCAGTCGTTTAGTTATGTTTTAGGTAAAAAACAATTGACAAAGCACTGGACACTATTCCGATAGACACCCGATGACTGTAGTAATTAACTCGATCGATTATGCTGTTTAATTTTTTGCGATGGGTTTATTGTTCTCAGTAGTCAGTGAAGGCGACTGAGTGAATTATTTGGAATATTTATATATTTCAAATGGCAGGCGTTTTGAAATTTTTCGTTAGCCCCTTAGCTGACTTCGGACTTCACAGAGAGGAGGAACACTCAAAGTGCAAAAAAATTGAGAGGGGGGACAGAATAATAATTCACAGATGTAAGAGACAGACTGGCACTAAGGCTGTGAAAAGGTGAGGTGAGTACTGTGAAAGTAGTCGATTATGACATAGATTGGGGTCATGGTAGTTTGGCAAACGAAGTCAACTGCCGATTAATAGACTTTTTGCCGTATGAGTATACATTGTCCAGGGTGCACCACGTGCAGGTAAGTCTATCGCACACTCCTTATTTGGATTATAAAATGTGTTTGAAAGAAGTTTCAATTTCTGTGATTTTTTTAAAATTGCCTTCGAAACACACTTGTTTATATTTTATATAGAAATGCGTTTAAAAAAGAAAGCTATCAAGATTTCACACTACTTATGTAAAGTAGAGACTCGCATTTTCTTATATCAAACCACCGCAATAATAGCCTTAGAACTAGGTAGTGGACGAACCAAATGGTACTTAACTTCAAGAAACTATTTGAGTACTTCTTAAATGACCCTTCAAATTTTAGTCACTAGTTCATAGTGATGGACGGTATTCCTTTCTCATCTATGTTTCTAAATTGATAAGGAAGTCCTTTCTTTGACTGTTCTTTGGCGCCAACTTGGCTAGCCTTCAATTTCAATCTGTCCCACCTTTATATTTAAGAGAAGTACGTACGGAGTATTTTTTTTTGAAAGGTAAATTTTGCTTATATTTTCTATGTGGTGAAACAGGTGCAAGATTTATATGAATTTAATTAAAGTGGTTTAAGTTCTGTTGATTGCAAATGTAGCTTCATTTATTTTTCATGAGGTGAAAAATATAAGCGAATTTCCATCTTGCCTACTAGAAGCAGTTATCGCGAAGATCAGTTATCCCTATCGATATCTAAAAGTACCTGATGGTGGCAATTTCCAGTTATTAATTTACTTAGACAGTGAAAAAATGTTTCATTTGAAACTCCTAGTGTGCTTACCTGCTAAATCGTTTCTTCCCACACGCGACTGCGATCCTTATTTTAGCAAATTTCTTCGAGATGGCAAAAAATTCCACGTGAATGGATAAGATGCTGCTCGATGCACGCAAAGCAAACGGTAGAAGATGGGAAGACGTGCTATTATCGTTATATACGTCAAAGTTAGTTGTATAGAGCAGTAATTTTGTATGAAATTTTTCTCGTAAACGAGTAGAAGTTACAACTTTGAAAGAAATTACTTGAACAAAATTTTAAGTTCCATTTTAAGTTAGCGATGTCATGAAATATTTGTACACTTACCCTAATAAAAAAGGTAATTAACATAAATTAACTGCTTTAAAATTTAGGTTTTTGAATTCGAGTTGTCGCCGGATGAAATGGCAAAACTTGACGAAGTTGAAGAGTCTGTTCATCGCCAATGAAACCACAAGTGAGCTTATTTAATGGTTTTGAAGTGTCATTAAATTTTCGACGTAAAAGAATCTACTTTCTGTCGATTATAACCCGTAATATATCACCGATTTCGAAATTACCGAATATTCATGTTGACTCATGCCGTTTATGGGATTTTCATTATTGATTAATATTGAATCAAAGGTGTAGAGGATATAATCGATTTTGACAAAGGTTGTGATATTTGGCGTTTTCTTTGAATATCTTTGATTCTTTTGCGAAAAAGCGATTTCTTATCCCTGGCTAGACGTCATTTTCATCGATTTTTCTAAGCTTTAGAGAAAAAATGAGGACATGCTTTTCAAAAGCTTGCTGCCTACTAGAACTTTGTCAAGACAAGTTATCGTAATCGATGACACAAAGTTGACCGATTATTTTTCATCCTATTATTGAATGTCGGGTAGACACGATGATATCCCATGATTCGTCTAATGATTTCCATGCCACTACCCTCTCTAACAATTGCACCTTTATCTAACTGGATAATTCGTTCTTCCCTTCCGGTAAGTTAACTAAGACCTGAAAAGAAGTGGAATCCCAGAGTCACTATGACGAGAAACCCATATTTAGGTACCCCCAATTATTGACCCATATTGATCTACAGGGTTATTCATTTTCCTCACCAGGTGTCCATCGTTGGACTTCAATAGCGAGAACTTTAATCAGGTGGTCATTGGAATTGGGGGACGGTTTTCCATTTTGTTTCTTAAAGTAAATCTTTTATGCAAATACACTATAGATTTGCATTTGTATCATAATAACTCAAACCCCTATCTGTTATGTCAGGTATACTTTGTCAATTCTTCTTATCATCACACACATTCTACCCAATTGACTTATACAACTATAAAAAGTAGGCGTTAGCTGCCGATTTAAAACAATACCAAGGCAGTATTTTCTTAATTTGAGAAAATCCATTTGATTGGAAGAACAGCAGTAGATTACATTGGTTGGAGGAGAATATACACCTTTCAAGCTAGTATTTGCCTAAAATACGAAAAGGGGCATTCGAGGAGTCCTTCCTATCCCGGGTTGGGGATTCAAGACATTTATAACTCATCATCGAAGCACTTTGTGAACTCTGCTTTCTGTTACACCTTAAATGTGTGACCCAAATGGTTGAGAACTGCACCATATTTACTTTTAAAGAGCGTAGGATTTCATTGGCTTCTTTCTCACGATTATTTGCTGTGGAAAGAAGTTTCTGTTCGTTCACTGACAACAAAAGTGCATGCATAAAATTTGATCAAACGTCAAAAATGAATGTTGATGACCTTTCCATTCTTCAAAATGCGTATTTTTTATTTCAAAACTTTTTTTTTCAATTTCTAATGATTCCCATTAGTAGAATACGCAGTTTTTACATATGATTAAGTCTGTGAAATTCTTGAATTGCTTGAGCAAATTTATTCAATTAACTTATTATTTGATGAATGAAGAATTTATCAATTACTCAATTTAAACTCTCAAGTCTTCATTTTAAACAATGTAATTGTTAATTTTTCTGAATATTTTAATGATTTTATTAAATCCCTATTTTTCTTCTTCAAATAGCAGCCGCCCAAGTTGAAAATCTTTCGGTGAAATTCATTATTGAACAATCCATAAATTGCTTAGTTCTTTTCGTTGTACACTATCCTAGTTGGCAATAAAAATTATACTATTTTTTAATTCTTCCTTATTATCTTTGAACTGGGTATATGACTAATATATAATAAAACCACACTGTGTTACCCTTACCGAATAACTGGTATTAACTTATGGGGCATTATTTTGGCCTTCTCTAACTGGGCAGCAAGTATTGACAATTTTTTTGAAATTTAGCATTTGTTATTAATATCACTTAGTTTTACTGGAATTGAATCTTTTCACAAAACGCATAAGAATATTATTATTATTATCATTGGCCAAGATATTTCAAGGACTGAGGACGGCCTTAATAAACCTTCCATTATGTTTCCTTGTTGCTGATTAATGTTTTAAAATACCCGCCAACTTAAAGGAAAATGACGTCGTAAAGTTATATTAATTGGCTTTCGAGTATCTATTTAATTAAGTTTTCATGAATCCTTAATTGAGGTGAGCAAAATCAAAATACTCATCTTGCACTAGTTTCCATTCAAATTGTGCATTCCAATTTTCCCCTATTCATATTAATTTCAAATAATTCATAAAATAAAGGTGCAGCTGGAAAATGACCACATTTCATCCACAATAGTATTATTATTCATTTTAAAACCGGGTATATATTTTAATAGAGATTTGCTATATGAAATGTGGAGCCAAGTGAATCAGATTTCCATTTTTAGCGCAGTTCATTGTACGCGTTTTGAGGAGAGATCGAAAAATACTGGGACTGTGAGACCGGGATGCAGAATGATGAATGCTAAAATGCGTCCAAATATAAGACATCATGACAGTATAAACCACGAATCATTGAAAGAAAACAAAATTTTAAATTATTGAAATTGGAGGGATTTTTCTAATTAATCCCAAAGTCCTTTGTGCATTGGGTACTTTCGATAACAGGAGACAAAGCCACACTAATGATCCCCTAAGTATGTCAAAGACCTGACGGATTGAAGAATGGGGTGAAAAGGGTTTTTCGTTCATATGCTAGTTAGTTTTCGTTAACTGCACCACCACAAACCTCCTCTAACTAATTTGTAAGAAACGTTGACCATCAAAAGAATGTTTCGGGAAGTGTCAATATTATTTAGAGTTTCCAAATAGATGTCGGATTCTGTCCAACATGTAGTGATTCAAGCATTTTATGACTCTTTTTAACATTGAGGAGGTTCAATGGATTTTCTGAAAGTTCTATGAGATGAATTGTACTTTAATTTATTGGAATTGACTGGAAGTCGACCTCTTTAATAAATTATTATTTTAAGGGTTCGATTTCTTTACTCGGAGTGGAATTCGGTTAATGATTTCGAAACTTAGTTAAAATTATCTCGAATAGACATTTACGGAAGAAGCATTTGAGTCAACCCAGAATCTGGTCCTATCAATTTGCCCAAATTAGAATGATCTAGCCCTATCAATCTGGCTCGATTGTATCTAGTTGAAGCTAGAAATTAATCAGGTCGACCAAAAAAACTTGAAGGTAGGAAATGTGGATATGAATTTAAATAGCTGAAATAACGGTTCGATAGCATAAATGGAATTTTCCACTGAACTAATTTACTTTAGTGTAAGATTACTCAGAAATATATTTCCATTTATCAAATACAACTTTGCAAATCTCGATTGGGTTCTAAAGAAGAAGTTGTTTTAAAACGTGCGACTACTCAAGCACAAAATTTTGTATACGCATGCTCCATAAACGCCTGTGGTGTAAATCGGTAGGCGTCTGGTAAAGTAAAAAGGAAAGACGCTTACGTTTGAAATCATAATTACATGGGCCTATCTTTATTTCTATTCCTTCAACATTGACGTGTCTGTTTGCCCATCCTTAGACCACTCGCCTTTTTTGAAATTCAAATAACCTAAACCTCAATCCTTCTGATCTGATCTGCAGGTTCCTGAATGCATTTGTGTCAGAAGTATTTAAAGTTCGCTTACCAATGGGTTTAGTTGAGTTATTGGTTATAGCACTTGGAAGTACTGTAGGGTCTTAAAGCTATGCTTTGGTGGATGAGACTTGTCCACTATTTAACATTTCACATGATTTTAATTAAAATCATGGAGGAAATAAGAATAACTACATGTATATGATATGATTAAATTAATTTAAAGTGACAAAGAGCCATCTTACTTGTGGTATTAGTCCAAATACACTAACTTTTACTTCACGCTCTACAATATAAAGCAATAGAGCTAACACAACTTAAATGGACAAAACCCAATTTTATGTAAAAGATTTATTTCTGTTCATGACATTTAAACAAATCTATAACCTAGAGACTTAGAATTTTAACAGTAACTTTAATCTGGGAGCTCTTAAAATTGATTAGCAATGTTGGAAGAACTGATGCCATTCACTTTTGCAGACAGGAAGGCTCTAAGTCCTTTAATTTCAAACGAGTAGTTGAAAGTTAGTATGTATAGAGAGGGAGAATTGAGTGTTTGAATCGCTAGTTTCCCAATCGAATTGTCATTGAACCTTGCAATCAAATACCGAGTTAGTAAAAAAGTAGCGAGCATAAAAGGCCCATCAATATTTTCTAGGAGAAACAATTAAGAATAGTTCAAGGACGCGCGAACATTTTAACATGATATTTTTAAAATAAATAAAATATATATTGTTTAAAAATTTTGAAAAATTTAGGAAAGTAATTCAACTTAAATAATTCTTCCGCTATTCCCCTTAACTTTGACTTTAGACTTTATTCATGCAAAAAACTTTGACGATGCCGATATCAAAAATCGATACGTTTTCAAGCCGATGCTTGAGGTCAGCTTGCCTCCAGACATGATAGTAGAAACAATTCTGAGAGCTTCATTTTCTTAGTGAATGAAATTTTTTAACATTATTTATAAAAACATGGATTAAATTATATTGTTAAGGATAAAACTTAAAACACCAAAGCAGGCAGAGATCACCTCAGAAGAGATTGGGTTAGTTTTGAACGCCTTTTAAGACTAATTAAAGCATTACGGGAAAGCATGGTCGAATACTAAAGCGAACAAATGACAATATTGATTCCAAATATTTAAATCGGGCACCAAAATTTAAATGGCGGGAGAAAAGGGCCTGAAGTTTTTGTTGGTATGGCGTAAAAGTATGTATTAATTAAATATGGAGGCAGTTTTTTTCTATCGTCCATTACGCACTTTCACTTAAAGCGCATTGGTGAAATTTTGGCATTAAGATGATGATCTATGAACCACGAACATTTTTTTCTAATGTAAATAGTTCACATTTCTATAGTGGATTACTCAAGCAATTATCGATGTGAAGATAGCAATGGTTGTCTGCAAATTAAGCACTCAATCTACTTTCCAAGTCAAGCGAGAGTTGACT